GACCCCCCCCCCCCCCCGTCAGATTCACTGCATAATGCTGTAGTGAAACCCAAGAATCTAATATGGGCACCTGTCTGATACAGACACTTCTCTAATATCTACATCTCTCTAATACAGACACCCGTCCAATATGGATACCTCTCTAATACAAACAGTTCTCTCATAAAGGTGTTCATCTTAGAGAAGTTCAACTGTAACTACAGTAACACAGGGTTATGTCAGTTAGGTGTATCTATGCCCAATCGTGCCATTGACGTCAAGTCAAAGCCTTGTTGGTCAAGGCTACACTTAACTTTCTTTGAAATTTGTTTTAGGCAACTCATGTTATCAAGGAAAATGATCTCTCTGTGGCCTTGTTTGCACCTGGATGGGTTTACGAGAAATATGCATCTACTTTCAAATCCAGTCAGGATAAGTATGTGGTTAAATATTAATGCAAAAATTGCAAAGCATTGATAACAGGTTGGTTTCACTAAGCACTGTGCAACAGAATAATGAGTGGTCAACCAGCAGTTATCAGAGAGAGAAAATACAATCAATAAAACCATGTAAAAAATATTTTAGATTCAACATTCTAATTTTAGAAAATGTTGATACTGAATTAATTTTGTAGATTCTGGACATCAATTGCCCCAGATTGTACCACCCATGCCTTGGGTCCTTGTCTACCATTTGTGACGTCATTTTGTCAAGGATATGGTGAAAAGTGGTTTAGCTATGGAGAGGTCAGTAATTAAATTTGTCTGGTGTTGGACAAAGTAAAACAATAAAGTAGGTAGCCTGCTCGCAGACGTATTTCTTATGAAAAGCGACAAAATTTTTGTCTCTTGCCGTATGAAATACGTCTGCAAGCAGGATACCAGATCCACATAACGGTAAAATATAGACATCTGGTAGTGCTCAGATATTTCCTGATGTGTAGATAAACAAATTTATTTCCTAGGTTGCATTTGATCAGCCCTGGACACATCTCAGTGCACAAGAACTTCAGCCAAGCTATATTAATCAAATCTACAGTCTGGGTGTACAACCAAATGGCATCCTTATCACCACAGCTGACCACCAGACTCAAGATTCGTATCGAGGTGGTGGCTGCCTCACATTGCAAGGGTCTACGAAATTAACTACTACTTCATGTAAAGCTGTTGTTAGGTATATCACTGTACTTTAGTAATAATTATTTTAATGAAAAACAGGGTGTGGCTGTTGGAAATCCATGTAACATTGCATGTTATGTGAGGTATATGTCGACACCCCACACAATAAACCCTTGCGGAAAGTACTTTACTGTTGCTATCAAGCCTCGCTTTCGGGATTGAGATGTCAACTTTAGAGCCACTTGTTACTGATGACCTAATTATATAACAGTATTTTATATTATCTAATATAGCTATATGATTTCTTAAATGTGTTCATCTGTAACAAGATAAAGGACTCTAAACCCAACATCTCAAATCATTAAAATGAGGCTCTATGGCCAAGGCTGAATTTTAACATGTCTTTTGTAACACACACAATAGGTTGTTCAAGACTGATATACAACTTCCAAGTACAATACTGGTTAGTTATACAATTAAAGTGGAAGCCAGTAATTTACTGGACGTTGCATTACAACTACATGTTGATAAAAAACCCAACTACATTATGCTGTGTCCTCTGGCTGAAGAAAACTCTCAAGGTAAATTACAAGGTATTGTATAGCTTATGTGTATCCAGAACCGGTGGGGATGGGTAGCGATTATCCTTGTGGACCTCTAGGGAAACATTTCAGACATACTTTACCTGTTACAGCTATCCAGTATAAATAAAGTTTCTTCTTCCAAAGTTTGTTTTCACAGTAACACTAGACCATAAGGATTTAAGGGGCCTTTAATAAAAAAATTTCAAACTGATAAAGTTACTAAATTCAATAAGAGACTTGATTTCCAGATTCAGAAACAATGGACAGTCTAAATGAAGCTTTGATGCATCGTTATGGAGTGCCAAGGTCCGACCAGATTGATTCAACACGTTGGGCATCAGTATCAGTTGGTCAAGAACATTACAGATCATTTGCTCCTGTAACTGGAGATTATCACAAGAAATTGGCAGAGATGTGTTGTGATGGAGAGGAGAATGTCGACTCCTCATGGTGTACAAGGTATGCAGGTTTCATTGGCTGTTTAATCCTGGCAATGCGCCCTTCCTTTAGTATTTTACTCTGTCTAACGCCAGACTCGTCAAGTGGAGAGTGCTGCCACTTAGTGGGTTTTATTTAAAACCAAATTACAAACTGCCTGTGTCAATACTCTTAACCCTGTAAGTTGCAATGTACCCTACTTTAGTATTTTACTCCGTCTAACACCAGACAATTTTACTTGTCAAGTGGAGAGTGCTGCCACCCGCTGATGGGTTAATATGATGCCTGAGAGATTTTCCAGTTTTATCACAACAGGAAACAAGAAATAAACTACATTTACACTGGTTATAACTCTGTTCTCCCTAGAGGTCCCCATGCCTTATTACTGTTAGGAAACCGAGCTGGGTGAAATTATAATAAGAGAATTGCATATTGCAGTTATCGAACCTCATTCACACAGATGAAAGGTGCATGCACTAACCATCATTGTCACAACAGTGCATATATAACCTGTACATTGGTGCTACATTTATACTCATTTATATTCCTAGGTACTATTTATTAGCAGAAAAGGACTTAAAGGGTTCTCATATCAAAGGAATCCGTTTGGTATTAATGAACAAAACCATTCCTGGTAAATTATACTATATTATTTTGCATATATACAGTAGTGGCTCTTATTTGAACAGTGTATAGATATATGGTTTCAGCAGATATCATACTTGACTTTACATTATCCCAATCAATAGGTTCCAAAACAGAAAGCTCTTCAACACCATTTCAACTTTATCTCGGAGAAGTAAAGGTTTGTCAAAGTTGTTTCTTTATTTCATAAATTGTATTAGTAAATTAGAATGTATTTTTTATAATTGTGCAAATTAGCCAATACACTGACATATATGTTTTATCATAGATAATTGATGCTGTTTCCTTAAGACAAACTCTTCCAATGGTTACCTCATTAAAATGTCTTGAAAGCGAGATAAAGAGCCGTATACTGAACTCAAACACACTTGTCATAACGCTAACCCTATCATGGACTTATGACAGCTCAAACACTGAACCCTACGAGAGATTTGAAATCTACCATCTTGCTTCAGATGCCTCGACAGTTTTTCTGGGGTTGGCATATTCCATGTCGTATGTGGTCAGTGAGCTGGCTCTACCCAGATCCCAGGAAGAAGCACAGTTTATTGTACAGGCTGTCAGTTGTAGTCAGCGTAAGCAAGTGTTAAGAGATTGTCCACGTATCACAGTCTATTGGTCATGAATATGGGTCAATATATATATATTAAGACAAATAAAAATAATAAATTAAATGCATCCTCCGTATAAATTATGGATATAGTTTATAAATATTTCTAAATTGAATGAAGAAAAATTCTAAGAATATATGTATATATACAATTGAGAAAAGATACATACATCTTGTTCATCTTCAGACAATTAAATATTGTTCCAATTCATTGCAGATTTCTTCTATTGATTTGGAAAGTTTAAGAAACCTTGACAGTTCTATTCCAATTAAATTTGTCAAATTCACGATCTAGAAATAGTTGAAAAATATTAGTCAAATGTAAAGGAGGAAAACCTTTCCTGTCATCAAAACAATTACTTTCGATTGATAATCATAAAAACAGGTTTTATTAAAAAATTTTGGTCAAATGCAAAACAGAAACCACAGAGGGTACCCTAGGCTTAGCAAAGGGGGGACCACAGTACCCTAGGCTTAGTCAAAATTTTCAGCATGGGTAGCTGGGCTGAAAGTCAGTCGCTCCATGTAATCAGCCCCTAAATTACCAAATAAACATGGTAAATTTTAGGACATTAAGTAAATAAAAAACAGTCCCCCACCCTTTAGGTGGGTTCTATTTTGGACTGACAACTACAAAGCACTATCTTACCTCTGGACTAATTTTCATAAAATTGTTCAAAGCAAATAAGCAATGATAAACTACAAATGGAAGATGGAAACTATGTAAAGAAATTGGAAAACTATGTAAGGAAAGAAGTGGGTAAACATGAAGTCATGCAAACCAAAATAATCATTATTTTTCCTTTAGTTCATTAGTGGCAATAGCGAACTCACCTGTACTTGTTTCCAGGTCATCTCTCCGCAAACATTCAAGAATTGCAGAAGAACATTCGAGTGCGGACTCTTCACTTACCTACATGACACAAAAACATGCAAAGAAATAAAACTGTCATTAACAGTTTCTTATGGTATTAACCCATTAAGCTGCAGAGCATCCCCATTAATGAGTAAAATCGCCTGGCATTAGAGAAGTAAACAAATTAAGTAGGGTGCACTGGGGCGCATTGCGGCTCAATGGGTTAATTTGCAACAAATTCAAGAGCAAGCTGGTAGTGAGTTCATCGGACACACCTTCAATTTCAGATGAGGAAATTCTGGCTTCTACCTAGTCCCAGGTAGAAGCCACAGCACTCATCAGCAAAACAAATTAAAACTGGATTAGCTTTGTTATACAGCTATTCAGCTACCATGTATTGAAAGGGTTTCAAAATTAATTATTGGGTTGTTGGTGGGGTGGGGACTGGGGTTACTACACTCATTACAAAAGTAAATAAAATATTCATAGAAAACTTACATACCTTTGCCATAGAAATATTATAGACTAAGCCAGCAGCCCTTACAAGAAGCTCTCGATTCCCATCAAGCATAGCTTTAACAGTCACTTCGATCACATCTCTATGATCCACCAATGTCTCATGATGTTCAACATTTAATCCCTGCTTATCCATGTTTGATCCCTTTGGATCCATGTTCGATTCTTGCAAGTCCCTCCTTGCCCCTGACTTGTTCTCAGCTACAAATATTTCTCGTCCAGCATCTGTACTGCATATATTTGTGAACTAAATGGAGAATAGTAAACAGATCATGCAGGAATATGACATGTGAGTATATGATGTCATGCAGGAATATGATGTTACGAGGCCAATAGACCTTATGCATAATGACATCACAAGGCTTGATGCCCGCCTTATGCATAATGACATCACAAGGCTTGATGTCTTAGTAGTCATTGCCCGGGAAAAGTAAACAATTCAAAATGGTGACTATCTAAATTTACCTGGGCGATGACTACTAAGACCAGCATTCCTCACAATCATCAAGCCTTGTGACGTCATTATGCATAAGGTATAGTACCACTAGTTTGCATTACAGAACATTAACATACCAGCTCAACCACAGCACACTGAACTTCTGGAGAATTCAGTCGTGGGAATTCACGGGCCAACTTAAACACTGGCTTTGAAACTAGAATAGAAAGTAGAGAGAATTAAGATCAATCAACTACACTGGCAATTTTTAAAAATGAGTTCTGTGTGCCAGCTTGCATGTTTACCTAACCACCTTCCTATTTATTTATTTATTTATTGCCAACTTATAGCCCCCAGAATAGAGGTTAAAATAACAGTTGGACACCCGACCAAATTACAGTTTTTCCTATGAAATGCAAGATTTGTCGGCCGTTTTGTCTTGACAAAAAATATCATGTAATTATTTTTTTTAAAATAAGTTTTAATGCAAGCTACTGTATCTCCGCTCACCGCACAAATAATACAAATTGTTAGGATTAAAACCATTTTAATGTAACAATATACTTCCAAGTATTACTTATGGATATTACAAATATCCGTACAAATTATAAGTTTCGGATCAAATGTGATTTTGGATGGACAATGTTTGAATGTTATTTCTGCAGTAATATAAATGTTCAAACAGAAAAGGAACTACCATACATACCTGGATCTTGGCAGACCATTAGGATAATGTTATCACATAGTACCACCAGACCAAGAGTTTGGACAATATTGGTGAGCACAAGGTCCTCTGCCGAGTGTTCATATCTTTCCAGAAGAGTTTCTATATATCATCAAGAAACAAATTATCCATATTTAAATCTAATTGTTTCCCTCCATCCCAGGGATGTGCCGAGCGATATCTAGTTGGGGGGAGGGGGGGGGTGAATTAACAAAATGGGCCCCCTTCCTTTTGTGGCCCCCTCCTGTAAAAAAATTTACACCACCCCCCGGTACTTCCTGCCCTGTCTCCATCTATTAGCAGCCATTAACCACAAATTTCATGGCAAAATAATGTTATGCTGCTATCAAGCTCAAGTAGTCAACAAAAATACATTAATTAAACCAAATACATTTTGCGGGAAATGCTCGGGGAGGTGGGCTTCTATAGGAGCCCCCTGAAGTCAACTACATGACATACTGTGCGCATGTACTGTACTCAGTCACTCAGTGTTTAATAATGAGTTAGTTCCCTCAAACATTTCTCAGAAATTCTTCAAAACATAGAATTTACTGTACATATGCAAATTCCTACTGCGATCACAGAAACTTTGATAGTGTATAGCAGTCTTAAGAAAGGTCTATTTGCTAAGACATGTCAACAGAGAACATTTCACAAACCTAGCAACTGAAGATGGCCTTTGCTAACTTGATCTCCTTTTTCTGACATTATTCTTTCAATTTCATTCACTTGATGTACTTCATTTTCTGTCAATTCTCCTTTTTCTATCATTTGCTCTAAGCTAGACACGAGTGATGACACCTGCATAAAAATAAGCAAAATTTTACAACTACATTATTACTGTAACAGAATCATCACCATGTTCTTTCATTACCAATAATTGTGCAGTAATAATATACATTAAAAAAACTTCTATGTTCGTTGAAATACTGTATATTCATTACTTTGTAATTGTCATAAACAATTGGATTGTCTTTTGACTGCTGTAACTGGACTTTCGAACTTTCACTGAAGATTAAGAAGAGATAATAAATACCGATTAATATAACAAATTAAAAATGACATGCTGTGATGTACATGCCAATAAAATCATCACTTTCTTATAATCACATATATTTAGATGTTCAAAGCAAATACATACTATATAAATATTCAAATAATGTTCAAATAATGTTAGGTAAATCAGTAAATCTGCAGTCATTAATTACAATATACAGGATTTCAGAAATTAGTTAGAGAGAGAAAGAGAAGGGAGGGTGGTGGTAGCCAGTGAACTCTATGTGGTGGTAGCCTGTGTT